TATATAGATCTTTAGTTGTCCAAATAATTTCTTTCTATTTTTAGTAGAGACGGGGTCTTGCTCTTGCTCAGGCTGGTCTCGAACTCCTGACCTTGAGCCATCCACCCGCCTCGGCCTCCCAGAGTGCTAGGATTACAGGCGTGAGCCACCACACCAGGCCGCACACCTCTTGATTTCTGTAGCTTTAAAGTAGGTCTTGATATCTGGTAGCATAAGTCCTCCAGCTTTTGCTTTAAGATGGGCGTAGCTATTCTATCATCAGTAGATGACAGTTGTTAACTTTTGTTTTATGTGTCTAAAAATATAATTTTATTGGATTAAATATAGGTATTCAACAAAATTTAGATTACATTGCACATTTGTTTAGTAATCTACGTATTTCACTTAGGTTGACTATTTCCCCTGTGCTCGAATTGTCTTTGAGAATGTGATATTTTTACTTTTTATTTTGAAATAATTTCAAGTTTACAGTAAAGTTGCAAAAATGTTACAAAATAACTTCCTCAAACCCTCGCCCAAAGTTCCCAGTTATTACTATTTTACAAAATTTACCTTATCATTCTTTCTCTCTCACTCTCTTTCTAGGCATATTGGGTTCCCCACCCTCCCGCACTGGAGCCATTTGAGAGCAAGTTGCAGACATGATGTCCCGTTACCCTTAAATATTTCAGCGTGTATTTCCTGAAAACAAGGGCACACTCTACTACACAGCCACAATACAACCCATCAGAGAATCAAGAAATTAATATTAATACAGTACTACCATCTAATCTACAATCTCAAATTTTATCAACTGTCCCAGTTAGGTGGAGGCCGATCACCTCTCTGCAATCTTCATAAGTTATATAGGAGTTTTTTAGAGGGAAGGGGGAAGGGGAAGGGGAAAAAAGAAAAAGGACTCGGGTCAATTTTGCTAAATAGCATTTTTGTAGGAAATTATTTAATCTAGGTTTTCAATTCTGTTTGTCTGGACTTGAGAAAAGTAGTATCTTAGGATATTAAAATTTTCTTCTGTTTCAATGGTTATGTCTTCTTGTTATTTCTTATCTTGCATATTTATGCCTTTTTCCTCTTGTTCTTTTTAAAAAATGTTTATGGATATGTAATAGTTGTACATATTTATGAGGTACATGTGGTATTTTGATACAAGCATACAATGCATAATGATCAAATCTGGGTAACTAGAATATCCACCACCTCAAACATTTATCATTTCTTTGTGTTGGGAGCATATCTTTCTGTCCTTGGTTCGGTTAGCTAGTGGTTCGTCTGCTGGATTGGTTTTTTTTCCCTAAGAAACAGCAGTTTAAAAGAAAAAGAAAAAAGAAAAAAAAAGAAACAGCAAATTGGATTGACGTGTTCTTTTTAGATTTTTTTGCTTTCTTTTCTTTTTTTAAATAATCCAATTTTTATTCAAATAGAATTACATTTAACAATTAAGGTCGTATGACTTAAAAACTTCAGAGCTGGGTTTTGGACTCAGATGGATAGTTTCATTGTCAATAGCCGTTAAAATAATGTTCTTGATCCAGGACCAGATGAAGAGAAGGGACACAAACAATTTCTTTTCATTGACTTTTCTAGTGTAACTTAAATTTCCTTAAATAATATGTCTTGAGGCCAGTCACCATGGCTCAAATCTGTAATCCTAGCACTGTGGGAGGCTGAGGCTGGAGGATCACTTGAGGCCAGAAGTTGGAGACCAGCCTGGGCAACATAGCAAGACCCTATCTCTACAAAAAAATAAAA